ATCAGTACTTTTGCCATTTTGCAGGACCAAAGCTGGTGCATGATAGTCTATCAGAGACCTTATATATGGACTTTGACCCTTTATCCCCTGTAGAGTCTAGACAAGTGTGCACCCGCGGCACTGTTGTCTAGACCTGTCAGTCAATATACTGTACTGACTGACAACCAGCTTGTCAGACTTTAACTGTGACCCATTATAATTAAGAATTTTTTTTTTTTAATATATTAGCAGAAACTTACACGTATCTTAAAACATTTAAAATGTTCAAGATTCAAATTATTTCTTGTCTAGTAAGGTTTAACAATACACCATTCATTTCAAAGTGTAACATTCGTTTCAAATATTAGTGAAGTTCTTATGACTAATACTAACTACTGAGCCATAACCATGATACGGTCGAGAGGCTTGCAAGTAAGGTTAGGCATGATGGCGCTGGGGTGTGGGGCCGTCATAGGCACCAGCACCAGGACCTTCTCATTCAGCTGGCGCTGCAGAAGGGTCCTGATGGTCTGACCGCAGTCGGGTTGCGTTGACGGATCACCAAATCTGCCGTCTGTAGATGAAAAACCATGTTCTAGACTACTACATAACCATTTTCTTAGTCTAGAACATGTTGTTAGGTTGGATTACCATACAGATAGCTTGGATTAGGATAGGTTAGGTCAGGTCAGGTCAGGTGAAGTTAAGTGAAGTTAGATTAAGATAAATTACGTTAGGTCAGGTTAGGTTAGGTTAAGGTAGGTTATTTAAGCTAGGTTAGGTTAGATTAACTTAGGTTACAATAGGTTAATAAAAGAAAATTAGACTTTCCCGCAAGAAGTACTTGACAACCGGGTTTCAGAGGATATATGGGCCTTCGGGCCGCTTCAAAGAACAATATATTGGACCAAGTAATCACAAGTTAAGTCTGGCCCCTGACCGGGATTGGGGAGTACTCCACCCGAAACCCATTCCAGGCATACAAGATGATGGAAAGGTGGAAGGTGGATATGACCTCAGTGGTCATATACTGGAGAGGGCCAAAAGACAAGGAAGGATTGAGAAGGAAGTCTGGACTGCGAGTTCGAGGGCCCCCACAGTGGATAAAGAAGAGCAGATAGGTAACGCAAGAGAAGACTGGAAAAGCGGGGCGGAAACGCTGGCCGGTGACACCAGAGGAACACCTAAGGTCTCAGATGTAGGGAAGTGGGAAAAGAAACAGAGGTGCCGGGGCTCAAGGCTCGGAAACTGTTGCGGACCTGAGGAGAGTGCGGGGTAGAAGACGCGTCGACATACACGGACATCAATCATGGCGAAAAATGAGGAAAGAAGACGGACTTTGCGACTCGCCGCGGGGAAAGATACGCGATCCCTGTGTTCAAGGTCTGGTCAGAGATCGGGCCTCGGGGCTCTTGAATCCCCGAACCATCGCAAAGGTAAGGTGGAGTGCTGTGTTTGTTAAATAGAACAAACACAGCAAATAACAATGAACAAACACAGCTAATAACAGTGAACAGACACAGCAGCAATATTGAACAAACACAGCAACATTAACAGCACACCAAACATTTAACAGTAAAGAAACAAACACAGTGCCAACCCCAGGTCAACCAATCACCATCACTTGCCCACAACAGTAGTTTAGGGTGGTCGCGGCTCGACCAATCACCGTTACCCCAATTACAATCAGTGGTAATGACGATGGTTACTGTGGCAGAGTTACGCGTCTCTAAACTCAACTAGAAAACTCTTATAAGCAATAAACTAGAATTGATTCATTTTATTATGTAAGAAAAACAGTCAAAAGATACACACACACACACACACACACACACACACACACACACATATATATATATATATATATATATATTGGTGTATACTGGCAGCAGGTTTTCTTTCAAACATGTCTCATTGAATATGACCGCATATTCTGTATTTACTATTTTCTGATTTAGGGCTTCTATCCCTCTAACTATTTTCTTAGCATCAGGGCTTAGCTGAAATAGGAGTTCTCCAAAACTCATTTTCGTAATTTTCGTAAAGTTATATATATATATATATATATATATATATATATATATATATATATATATATATATATATATATATATATATATATATATATATATATATACCAACAGTGAGTGGTATATATATACCACTCACTGTTGGTGGTAATTCAAAAATCAATTCTCCAAAATTCATTTTTATTTCTAGTCTGACGCGACACTTGAGCGCGTTTTGTAAAACTTATTACATTTTCAAAGACTTTAGTTTACACATACACAACTGAATAGAACTTACATATCTCCGATTTGTTTATATCTACATTTGAGTGAGGTGGATGGGGTGAGGTGGTATTAATAGGGTATTAATTTCATCAACACAAGAGAGAACACGAAACAATGGGTATTGAATGGAAGTGATTGTAGAAAGCCTATTGGTCCATATTTCTTGATGCTTCTATATTGGAGCGGAGTCTTGAGGTGGGTAGAATATAGTTGTGCATTAATTGGCTGTTGATTGCTGGTGTTGACTTTTTAATGTGTAGTGCCTCGCAAACGTCAAGCCGTCTGCTATCGCTGTATCTATCGATGAAAAACAGTCAAAAGAAAAAACAGTTTCTGTGTTGTTTACTAGGATTTCTCTGGCGATGGTTTGGTTGTGGGAAGAGATTATATGTTCCTTAATGGACCCTGTTGCTTATGCATCGTTAAACGCCTAGAAAGAGATGTTGTTGTCTTGCCTATATACTGTTTTTTTTGGAGCTTACAGTCCCCAAGAGGGCATTTGAAGGCATAGACGACGTTGGTCTCTTTTAAAGCGTTCTGCTTTGTGTCTGGAGAGTTTCTCATGAGTAGGCTGGCCGTTTTTCTGGTTGTATAGTAAATCGTCATATATATATATATATATATATATATATATATATATATATATATATATATATATATATATATATATATATATATATATATATATATATAGATATATATATATATATATATGTCGTACCTAATAGCCAGAACGCACTTCTCAGCCTACTATTCAAGGCCCGATTTGCCTAATAAGCCAAGTTTTCATGAATTAATGTTTTTTCGTCTACCTAACCTAACCTAACCTAGCTTTTTTTGGCTACCTAACCTAACCTTACCTATAAATATAGGTTAGGTTAGGTTAGGTAGGGTTGGTTAGGTTCGGTCATATATCTACGTTAATTTTAACTCCAATAAAAAAAAATTGACCTCATACATAGAGAAAAGGGTTGCTTTATCATTTCATAAGAAAAAAATTATAGTAAATATATTAATTCAGGAAAACTTGGCTTATTAGGCAAATCGGGCCTTGAATAGTAGGCTGAGAAGTGAGTTCTGGCTACTAGGTACGACATATATATATATATATATATATATATATATATATATATATATATATATATATATATATATATATATATATATATATATTATATATATATATGTCGTACCTAGTAGCCAGAACGCACTTCTCAGCCTATTATGCAAGGCCCGATTTGCCTAATAAGCCGAGTTTTCATGAATTAATTGTTTTTCGACATCCTAACCTACCTAACCTAACCTAACCTAACTTTTTCGGCTACCTAACCTAACCTAACCTATAAAGATATGTTAGGTTAGGTTAGGTAGGGTTGGTTAGGTTCGGTCCTATATCTACGTTAATTTTAACTCCAATAAAAAAAAATTGACCTCATACATAATGGAATGGGTAGCTTTATCATTTCATAAGAAAAAATTAGAGAAAATATATTAATTCAGGAAAACTTGGCTTATTAGGCAAATTGGGCCTTGCATAGTAGGCTGAGAAGTGCGTTCTGGCTATTAGGTACGACATATATATATATATATATATATATGTGTGTATATCACGAAAATAAACACGTGATTAAGAATGTGACAATGTCAGACCACGGAGGGAAAATGAAACAGGAAATTTCCTTAAGTACTTTCGTATATTAAATACATCTTCAGAAGGTCCTTCTGAAGATGTATTTAATATACGAAAGTACTTAAGGAAATTTCCTGTTTCATTTTTCCTCCGTGGTCTGACATTGTCATATATATATATATATATATATATATATATATATATATATATATATATATATATATATATATATATATATATATATATATATATATATATATATATACCACTTGTTTTTTCAGCGTTAGGTCATGTGAGCATTAGGTTTAGTTAGGTTAGCATCAGTTAGGTAGGTTTAGTTAGGGTCGGTTAAGTTAGGTAAGGTTCGGCTAGGTTATGGCTAGTTAAGTCAGGTTAGGTTAAGTTTAGGTAAGATAGGTTAGGTTATGGCTGGTTAGGTTAGGTTAGGTTTAGGCAAGATAGGTTAGGTTATGGCTAGTTAGGTCAGGTTAGGTTTAGGTAAGATAGATTGGTTATGTTTAGGCTTAGGTTAGGTTCCCCGCTCTATTCTTAAATGATAATCACGAAAGCGACGTGATCTCTAGGCTTTCAGAGCCTCCCGAAAGATGTACAAGAGCTGAGTTTATGTGCCACCTACGAATTGATTTTTATAGCTCCTACTGTGGTTTGGATTGCTATCTAAATGTCTACGCATTAAGGGATTTCCCAGCCTAACCTGATCCTCCACGTTACCGAAAATGGTAGATGAACCTACTCATGAACCGAGTTCATGAGTAGTTCTTTCTAACGTCCCTGTGTCTCATTTGGATACAGGGACGTTAGAAAGAACTTTTTCAGTGTCAGAGTAGTTAACAGATGGAATGTCTTAGGCAGTGATGTGGTGGAGGCTGACTCTATACGGTTTTAAATGTAAATATGATAGAGCCCAGTAGGCTCACGAATCTGTACACTAGCTGATTGACGGTTGAGAGGCGGGACCAAAGAGCCGAAGCTCAACCCCCGCAAGCACAACCAGGTGTGTACTAGGTTTTAGTGTATTGTGGTATTGTGTTATCAGGACATTGCAAACGTCACATGGCTGGCAGATAAGCCTTATCACAGGTCCCTACCACCGGGCAGATACACAGCCACCTACACTTGTGTTACCTTGTGGCTGGCGTGGAGGTCTTCTTTTGGCAGGATCACTTGTGTCTTGACCTATGCAGGATCTTGCAAGGTGAGCATTATAGACTACATTGTTTGCAAGAAGATATGTCATTTTCTATGCTTTATATGTTGTTATTTGGAGCAGTTATGCAAACGCTTCGTTGCTTGGGATAGAGAGAAGTGGGGTACACCCTGGGGTTATATATATTCCTGGGGAGCATGGTGTATCCTCACGGGAGACATCTCCCGTCACGCAGGGTGCAGTCGCATCTCCACAGATCTCCAGTGTCATCTATTGATACTGGTAATGGCTCAAAAGGGCCACCACTTACGAGCTATTCATGCCCGTGCCACCTTTTGGGTGGCTTAATCTTCATCAATCAATCAATGGTGTACCTCTCGGTGTATATATATCCCTGCGGAGCATTTTGTAAATGTTAGTAACGCCGTGTCACCCTACGTCGTGTCACTCTACGTCGTGTCACCCTACGTCGTGTCACTCTACGTTGTGTCACTACGTCGTGTCACTTTACGTCGTCACCCTACGCCGTGTCACCCTACGTCGTATCACCCTACGTCGTGTCACCCTACGTCGTGTCACTCTACGTCGTGTCACTCTACGTTGTGTCACTACGTCGTGTCACTTTACGTCGTCACTCGACGTCGTGTCACTCTACGTCGTGTCACCCTACGTCGTATCACCCTATGTTGTGTCGCTCTAGGTCGAATTAATGTACACAACAGCTACTACAATGTTAGAACATAATATGATGAGAATTATTACACTTAGATGCATGAGTTACAATGTAAAAATCATACTTTATAATTAGTGTCCATTATGTAAAGTATGCGGGCATACAGTAATATACACATATACGGCACATACACATTGATCTATGAGTGGCTCCGGGGACCTGTCCTCAGGCCTACTATGTCGCTTTTGTGGATTCAACTAATCCGTTATAAATGCGACGACCGTTAAAATTGTTAGTAAAATCCGTTAAAATTGTTAGTCAAATCCGTTAAAATTGTTAGTAAAAATTAGGGCTTCGTAAAATTGACGGTTTCTATCTATGCATTGGCCTCGAACGCCTCTGGTTACGTAAAACAGTTGCATTTTTTACGTTGTTGCAAATCAAGAGAACAGCTGGGTCATCTCAGATGTCCAAACTGAGATCTTGGACACTGGGAGTCCTAGATCAATTGTATATTATAAATATATATAAATAGAATATTCTTATCTAAGGAAATCTTAACACACAGTGCCAATCAAAAATACTGGCATCTTTTCTTGTGTTACTATTAAAAATAATCAGTCTGACATTGCTAATATAGTATTAAAATGGCGAAAATTACTATAGGCTGTATGTAGACCACGGGACGAGTTCCTGAATCCATTATTTATGAATCTTGAAAGCTTTTATCCCCTGTTTTGATTTATAATATACTGATTAAAGTAAATCAGTATATTGCTTATTACTTATTATATTAAATTATAATATTACTGATTAAAAGTAACTAACGGAATGTAAAACATTGGAGCGCAAACTAGCACAGCACGAGAAATTGAAATTGAAATAAGTTTATTCGGGTAAAATACACAAAGGGATGAGGTAGCTCAACCTATTCTCACCCCGTTCAGTACATCGTGTTAATACATACATAGACACACATCACAAGCAATAAACGTATTACCGAACATTCTGAGAGATAAACATATACATTAACTAGCACAGCACGAGGATAATGGTCGTTAAGCACTGTGACGTCACCAATAACGCTGTGTTGGGCAAGAAGGTCAGGAGCGGCCGGCGCCGCCTCAGTGTCGGGCTGACAGCCAGCAGACGTAGTTCCTTGGGAGGTGTCCCGCTTCTTACATCATTTGCAGCTACACCGGTCATCAGGTAAGGTTACCGTGGACTTTATTGCTCAATGTATTAACTCATATAAGGTGTCGATATTTAATTATGGTGTGACCTGGTTGTTGGCGTAGCGTAATGTGGGCTCTGTTATCTGTGATGCCTTCAGAGGGATGGTGATATTTGGGTGGCGTATGGTAGAATTGGTAAAGTTATTTACATGGAAACATAGTTGACGTATCCTAACAATAGTATTAATAATTAGGTTTGTTCTAGATTTAGCCGTACAGCATTAAGTGGCTGGTCCACAATTGTTTAAATCTGCATTAGAGCGGGCAAAGAGTCTAAATATCTGGGCAGTACGTAAGGTATTTAAGTATGTTGGCCTGTTTAAAATGCAATAGAGTAAAGAGTAAAGGATGAGGGTGTAAAGGATAAAAATTACTGCCGAATTTTGGGCTTTGTAGCTCTAAGTTTTAGAGCCAGCTGTCATATTATTTAAATGGCTTGTAGGTACTGTAAGGCACTAAATGTACAGCTTATTCCTGTGGCGTTGGTAGTAGTTAGTGGCAGTTTATGGGTATCTACTGTGGCTTAATGGTCTGAGGGTGTTTTCACAGCCCCCCCCCCCAGGCTCGCAGAACTAGGCTGCTTCGATGAATCTTGATGCTTTTTAAACTTAATGGTATTAAACCCACTTTTTTTATTTATCAGGTGGGTGTGGATTTCTGTAATGTAATTCGCGGAACCAATTTCATCTGAATTACTTTGGTTAAGACCGGGTATTTGGTAAGTTATGCAGGTTTGAATTTCTTCAGTCTTGATATCTGTAGTGTCCATTGCAGCTGGTAAACAAATTTTCAGGTACAGTAGTTCTAATAGTTTGTGGTTAGGTAGAAATTGAAAATTATACTTTGGTATTGTATTAAATCTCGGCCCTTCCACCCCCACTACTTGGGCAATTTTCCTAGTTCATGTGGTTTCTCCAGTAGTGCGAAAGTTGTATTGTAAAGCTTTCGGTAAAGTTAATACATATTGTGGGGCCGTAATTGGTAAATGTAGAAATCTGCGTGTCTGGGATCACATTGTTTTCCCAGACAGTCAACACGACAATTAGCGACATGCTAACACTAATTTTGTAAGTGTTGGCATGTCGCTAATTTACGGGCTACTAGTGGACATGCCACGTCTTGTGGGGTCGTAATGTTAATGCCATGGTATCGGTAGTTGCTAGAATGCGTGGTGATATTGTTTGGAATGGCAACTTAAAAGCTATTAGGACGAATGTATCAAACAAATTAAGAATTTTAATTTATTGCAAAAGGTTTAGTACTAAAGTTTGTACCCTGGTGTTGCCCTATATATCAAAGATTACAAAGACACGAGGGTATACAATGTTGTACAGAGAAATTATAATTTGTTGAACAAAAATAACCTTAGACCTTTTCATAAATTTATTTGATACTTTATAAAACATTGTAATGGTATAAGTAACTTAGTTTTTGTTTTTCTAGGGTCTGGCGCGACAATCGCCACGAGTCTTCTTGAGAAACTTAGTGAACGGAGGACTAGTCAGGCGCACAAGGCACGGAACTAGTTTTGACGTGACGTAGTTGCAAGTCTCGATAGAGGTGGTTGGACCGTGTTGAACACGGCGCCTGACAAAGTTGCAGGAATATCTGAAAGAAAAGGCAAGTTGTTAACTTTCAGTTAATATTTATAATTTAGCAGGAAACTGTTGGAAAGGATATTCTGCAGAATTATAGAAAGAGCATCTGTGGGACATTAGAAACGGTTAGTATTAACTAGTTTACTTGTCCTAGTTATGAGACTTTGGTTTAGGAGGCAGTAAAAATGCCAGTTAAAATATAGAAATTAATGGAATAGGCTACCATAATTAGTAGGGAAATATCGATAGATGCGCTTTGAAGCAGCACGATTCAAAGATAGTGTAAAGGATGAATGGTAGTGTTCATGACGTTGTAATTGGGAGGACCTAATGGTGATCGGTGAAAATAGTTTAGAGCATTATGAATAGGAAGCAGGGGGGTCGGGGTGACGAACTGTGGAAGGTGTTGCTTCTACACCACTAGAATTTGCCACTAGAAATATTGAACGTAGAGTTTGCAAGAATACTGCAGTTTCTTACTGGTTAGTGTAAATGTTTGGAAGAATGAAGGAATGTACATATTCTTCAGTTGACTATAACGGTAAGTGTTTAGCAGTTTTAATGTCAAATGGTATAAATTGGTATTCGATGAAGTATGGTTGACGGGCCATTTTGTTAGTGAAAACGTGTAAAAGTAATATAAAGGGAGGAAACGTGACTACTAACTTTTACAACATCGTAGATTTGTGGTAGAATGGTGGTTAGAGAATAGTATGCAGTAGGAAATAGTTTGGTGTGTAGTTACTCTAGCTAGTGTGTTGGAAGGACAAGTAGAGAAACGTCAATATTGAAATTGATGGAAACATTTTAACTCTACAGACGCAGCACAGAAAATGGATGAAGACGGGTGGCTGTAGCAGTAAGAAGGCCGGTGAAGCATAGACTGCAAAATTGGGAAGCAAGATGCAAAATAAAGGAAAGTTGTAAATCTGTGTATTGTGTACTTTGAAACTGTTCTTAGAACTATAGAACCTGTTCCCTCTTATGTTTAATATCTGGTGTATGGTGTTATGACTATTGTTCGGCTGGTTTTCTGTAGGTATCAATGTGGTTCCGATAAATGTTGTTCGTATTGGAATAAATATCCCTTAATTATAGACGTTAATGTTTACAGCGGTTTGTGTATCCTTTAACGGCTGGCTATGCACAGTTTGTCTAAAATGCCATGTTTATTGTTGTAACATTGTCTAGGCCCAGTGTCTGTGACAGTGGCTAGAATTTGAAGGTTTGTTAATAAAGTTCTTATTGGATATGAAGTGTATGAACTACATGTCCCAAATGGCTTTAGTCCTCTTGATGTAAGTTTGACACGGTAACACTTCGTGGTTAATGTTGTTAGAAGGGTTGTTCCTGAGGGTTTTAAGTTGTTGACTGATCACCTTGTTCCTTAAGAGCATTTTGGCCCGGTTTGGTGCCTTTTGATAATTACATTACCTTAAGAGCATTTTGGTGAAACAGGCTGTACTGAATGAAGGCAATTGGTTTATAGGGAATATTTGTCAATTGTAATCCTCGCCTAGGTGGTGTTAAATACTTATTATCAATAGATGCAACCTTGTGGAATATGATAAATATGAACAACATGAACCGTAGTGTTTTAACGACGCGTTTTTCTAACGCAGTTACATTTTTCTTAGGTCAGTTGTACATAAGTTTTCTAACCATATTTATTGCTGTTTACTTGGTTAAAAATTCATCGTATTCGTCTGTTTCTTGTCAAGTGTTGGTGCTTTTAATGTCGGTGTCTTTCTCGCCGGTAGCGGGCAAAAATCTGACGAATTTCGCCGCTGGAGGGCAAAAATCGGGCGATTTTCGCCGCTAACGGCGAAAATCGCGCGATTTTTGGCTGGTAGCGGCGAAAATCGTTCGATTTTTGCCAAATCGTTCGATTTTTGCCAGCAAGCTGCGAAAATCGCACGGTTTTTGGCCGGTAGCGGCGAAAATCGCCCGATTTTTGGACGCTAGCGGCGAAAATCGCTCGGTTTTTGCCGCTAATGGCCAAAAACCGTGCGATTTTCGCCGCTAGCGGCCAAAAATCGCGCGATTTTCGCCAGTAGCGGGCAAAAATTGGGTGAATTTCGCCGCTGGAGGGCAAAAATCGGGCGATTTTCGCAGCTAGCAGCAAAAATCGCCAGATTTTTGGCCGCTAACGGCGAAAATCGCGCGGTTTTTGACCGCTAGCAGCGAAAATCGCGCGGTTTTCGTTGCTAGCGGCCAAAAACCGTGCGATTTTCGCCGCTACAGGCCAAAAAACGCGCGATTTTCGCCGGTAGCGGGAAAAAATCGAGCGAATTTCGCCGCTGGAGGGCAGAAATCAGGCGATTTTTGGCCGCTAGCGGCGAAAAGCGACCGATTTTCGCCTCTAGCGTGCAAAAATCGCGCGGTTTTCGCCGCTAGCGTCCAAAAACCGAGCGATTTTCGCCGTTAGCGGGCAAAAATCGCGTGATTTTCGCAAGTAGCGGCCAGAAATCGCGCGATTTTCGCCGCTAGCAGCCAAAAATCTGGCGATTTTTTCTGCTAGCGGCGAAAATCGCCCGATTTTTGCCCTCCAGCGGCGAAATTCGCCCAATTTTTGCCCGCTACCGGCGAAAATCGTGCGTTTTGGCCGCTAGCGGCGAAAATCGCGAGATTTTTGGCTGGTAGCGGCGAAAATCGCGCAATTTTTTCCTCTAGCGGACAAAAACCAAGCGATTTTCGCCTCTAGCTGTCAAAAATCGCGCGATTTTCGCCGCTAGCGCCAAAAAACCGAGCGATTTTCGACGTTAGCGGGCAAAAATCGCGTGATTTTTGCAAGTAGCGGCCAAAAATCGCGCGATTTTTGCCAGCCAGCTGCAAAAATCGCACGGTTTTTGGACGCTAGCGGCGAAAATCGCGCGATTTTTGGCCGCTAGCGGCGAAATTCGCACGATTTTTGACCGCTAGCGGCGAAAATCGCCCGATTTTCGCCGCTACCAGCCAAAAATCTCGCGATTTTCGCCGCTAGCGGCCAAAACGCACGATTTTCGCCGGTATTTTTTCGCCAAAAATCGCCCGATTTTTGCCCGCCACCGGCGAAAATCATGCGATTTTTGGGAGCTAGCGGTGAAAATCGCGCGATTTTCGCCGCTAGCGGCCAAAAACCGCGCGATTTTCGCCGCTAGCGGCCAAAAATCTGGCGATTTTTGCTGCTATCGGCAAAAATCGTCCGATTTTTGCCCTCCAGCGGCGAAATTCGCCCGATTTTTGCCCGCTGCCGGCGAAAATCGCGCGATTTTTGGCCGCTAGCAGCGAAAATCGCGCGGTTTTTGGCCGCTAGCGGCAAAAATCGACAGACTTTCGCTGCTAGCGGCCAAAAAAGGGGCTATTTTTGCCGCTAGCGGCCAAAAATCGGGCGATTTTCTTCGCTAGCGGCCAAAAAAGGGGCTATTTTCGCCGCTAGCGGACAAAAATCGGGCGATTTTCTCCGTTAGCGGGCAAAAATCGCGTTATTTTCGCAAGTAGCAGCCAAAAATCGCGCGATTTTCGCCGCTAGCGGCCAAAAACCGTGCGATTTTCGCTGCTAGCGGCGAAAATCGCCCGATTTTTGGCCGCTAGCGGCGAAAATCGCACGGTTTTTGGCCGCTAGCAGCGAAAATCGCGCGGTTTTTGGCCGCTCGCGGCAAAAATCGACTGATTTTCGCTGCTAGCGGCCAAAAAAGGGGCTATTTTCGCCGGTAGCGGGCAAAAATCGTGCGAATTTCGTCGTTAGCGGCCAAAAATCGGGCGATTTTCGCTGCTAGCGGCCAAAAACCGTGCGATTTTCGCCGGTAGCGGGCAAAATTCGCGTGATTTTCCCCGCTAGCGGCCAAAAATTGACAGATATTCGCAGCTAGCGCCCAAAAATCAGGCGATTTTCGCCGCTATCAGCCAAAAATCGGGCGATTTGTGACACTACAGGCCGAAATAAGGTGATTTTTGCCGCTAGCGGCCAAAAACCGCGCTAATTTCGACGCTAGCGGACAAAAATCGACCGAATTTCGCCACTAGCGGCCAAAAAATGGGTTATTTTCGCCGCTAGCAGCGAAAAATCGCCCGATTTTTGGCCGCTAGCGGCAAACTAATCTGCAAACTACTTTACAAAGTAGCGAATGTAGCCCAATTTTGGGCTACAAGTAGCGAAAGTAGCCCAATTTTGGGTACAAAGTAGCGAACTTTCGCTACTTTGTAGCGAATAGTAGCCCAACTATTGGGCTACTTAGCCCAATTTTGGGCTACAAAGTAGCGAAAGTAGCCGAATTTCGGGCTACATAGTAGCAAAAGTAGCCCAATTTTGGGCTACAAAGTAGCGAAAGTAGCCCAATTTTGGGCTACAAAGTAGCGAAAGTAGCCCAATTTTGGGCTACAAAGTAGCGAAAGTAGCCCAATTTTGGGCTACAAAGTAGCGAAAGTAGCCCAATTTTGGGCTACAAAGTAGCGAAAGTAGCCCAATTTTGGGCTACAAAGTAGCGAAAGTAGCCCAATTTTGGGCTACAAAGTAGCGAAAGTAGCCCAATTTTGGGCTACAAAGTAGCAAAAGTAGCTCAATTTTCGGCTACAAAGTAGCGAAAGTAGCTCAATTTTCGGCTACAAAGTAGCGAAAGTAGCACAATTTTGGGCTACAAAGTAGCGAAAGTTGCCCAATTTTGGGCTACAAAGTAGCGAAAGTAGCCCAATTTGGGGCTACAAAGTAGCCCAATTTTTCAAAATTTTTGCAAAAATTTTGCACAATTCTAGCAAAAGTAGCCTAATTTTGGGCTACAAAGTAGCAAAAGTAGCCCAATTTTGGGCTACAAAGTAGCGAAAGTAGCCCAATTTTGGGCTACAAAGTAGCGAAAGTAGCCCAATTTTGGGCTACAAAGTAGCGAAAGTAGCCCAATTTTGGGCTACAAAGTAGCGAAAGTAGCCCAATTTTGGGCTACAAAGTAGCGAAAGTAGCCCAATTTTGGGCTACAAAGTAGCGAAAATAGCCCAATTTTGGGCTACAAAGTAGCGAAAGTAGCCCAATTTTGGGCTACAAAGTAGC